GGTTATAGTTGCCGTCCTTTCTCCCGGTCTTTTCCACATACGTCGTCCTTCTCCCTTCTTCATTCTGGGGGTGTTCGTGAACTCTGTTTTTTGGACGGTGGAACGGCTTCTTTTTCTTTTGTACCTTCAATTTTTCCGCGGGGCAATTTCTTTTCACTTGCTTCTGTCTCTCATTGGCTTGCCCTTGTATTGTCGTTTTCCCACCTCTGGAACTTGTACCTGCGGTGTCTGCCGTGCCGGATCCTGCAAAAGATCTGAAAAGATTTGCATTTTATTACGGTCATAGAATGGTTTTCATTCTGGTCAATGTTTGCGGAACAGGTTTCACCATTTCTTGGCCTTTAACACTACAACAGCGTGAGTTATTTTTTCTATAACATATGGGTCCTTCAAATCGTGGGAAAAATTTGGCAGTTTTTTATCTTCTGGTGCTGAAGAAAGTGAATGCTTAATTTTTAACACTTCATCCCCTACTTTATAAGTTACTCCCCGTCGTTTCAAGTCATAATACAAGCTTTTGTTTTCTTTGTGCTACTTCTGTATTCTTTTTTGCTTCTTTTATTAGTTTTTCTATATCACCCATTTTAAATTCTGGGGCTCTTTGTTGCACATAAAATAAGTTTATCTAACGGTGTTATAATCTTTCTGCCTAGAAATAACTCAGCAGGAGTTTTTGCCCGTTGTATCATGTTTTGCGGTCCTAAGCAATTCATTGACATAGTTATCCCAGCTTTTATGAAAATTTTTAACATAACTACGGATAATTTTCACTATATTTCTGTTTACCCGTTCCGCTATATTTGATTGCGGCCGATACGGGACCATTTTTAAATGACGTATGCCCAGTTTTTGGCACATGTCTTCAAATATATTACTTACAAATTGAGGACCATTATCCGATATAACTTTTAGGGGCGCCCCGTATTTTAAATATATTTATTTAAAATAGAATCAGTAACTAATTTCGCGGAGGCTCGTTTTAAGGGAACAATTTCGGTCCATTTACTAAAATGATCAACCATAACAAGGAGATAGCGACTTTTATTTAACTGACTTTTTGGGAAAGGGCCCAATAAATCGATGCCAATTATTTCATTTGGAAATTCGGATTTAATACTATTTAGAAACCCGGCCGGGCGGAAATTAATATAATTAACTGCTTGACATGTTGGGCAGGACTGGACATACGCCCTTGTTAACTTTTGCAGTTCAGGAAAGTAGACTGCCTCGCGTACGCGTTGGATAGTTTTTCGAATACCAGCATGAGAAGCTAAAGGGCTGTCATGGAGCTCCTTGCAGGATATTTAATCTAAGACTAGCTGGGATAACAGGTCGAAATTCGTTGTTGGAATTCGTAGTTTTTGTATAAAATAATAGACCATCTATTAGTTCGTAATGGGCCGCCCTATTTCTTATCGCCACAATATCTTGGTGGCTAAAATTTTCAGGATCCTTCAAATACTCATAAATACTTCCAAACTCAGGATCCTTACCCAGTTCGGTTATTACAGTTTCTCGGGAATTTATTGTACATGCTGTCAGCATTGCCACCTTTTACGGTATTACCCTGTTCGTCTATTTTTAATTCGGATAGGGCATCTGCTACGATATATTTTCCTTTCCGGGGTATGCTTGATTACCAGATTATATTCTTGCAGCTTGAGTGCCCATCTTAACCTTGGGGATAAATTTTTCCCTGAGTACAATCTAGTTACCGCCGCATGATCAGAATATACTGTTATCGGCGCCTTTCCAAAATAGACTCGGAACTTTTGCACTGCTAACAGAACTGCAAGTGCCTCTCTCTCGGTCGCGGAATAATTTCTTTGTGTTTGATTTAAAGTTCGGCTAAAAAATGCCACGGGCTGCTGATTTTGCGAAAGTACCGCTCCTACCGCATAATCCGAAGCATCCGCTGAAATTTCTAAATTCTCATCCTTTTCAGGAAATTTCAACACAGGGGCTTGCGTTAATGCTTGTTTTAATTTTTCGAAAGCACTATTGGCTTCGGCCGTCCACGAGAATCTTGCCTTTTTCCTTTTTAATTTTAACAATGGCTCAGCGATAGCCGCAAAATCTTTTATAAAGGACCTATAATATGAACAAAGTCCTAGAAAAGAAGAGAGCTTCTTCGCCGTGTTTGGAGTCGGATACTTTTGTACAGCGATTATTTTTGATTCATCTGTCTCGATCCCTTTTTGCGATATTTTGTAACCTAAATATTTTAATTCAGGGGCTGCAAATTTGCACTTTTCGACATTAACTTTTAGACCGGCCTCATTTAATAAAGAAAACACCTGTCTTAAATCCTGTACATGTTGGTCGAGATTATCACTAGTAATAATGATATCGTCTAAATAGATAAATGTGGACTTTCCAAGAACAGGTCTTAACCACAATGTCCATGCATCGCTGAAATGTGCTGCCGGGGCCCTGAAAGGCCAAACGGCATACGCAAAATGCATAAGTGCCAGACTTGGTTATAAAGCAGTCTTAGGCACGTCCTCAGGCCTGACCCCTATTTGAAAATAACCATTCGTTAAGTCTAAAGTCGTCATAAATTTGGTTGATTTTATGTTCCTTAAAATTTCTTCTATAATCGGTAACGGATATACCGGATATTTCGTATGGAGTTTAATTTACGGTAATCAATAGCGAATCTCCACCTTTTTGGATGCTCCAAAGGATAATCATTATTTTTCTTACATAAAACCACCGGGACTAGCATAACTACTTGAGATGGGCGTTATGATCTTTTTACGTAGCATATCGGTAATATGCCATTCTATAATTTTTTCCTTATTCTTATCATACCGGTATGGTTTTGGACGAACCGGCAATGCATCTCCGGTGTCAATACTATGGTTAGTAACCTGGAGTAAATCCTGGAATATCACTAAATAACGAAGCAAATTCACTTACCACTTGTCGATTCTATCTTGCTCGTCATTAGGCAGGTGGTCAAGGATTTAACCATTGGCGGTTCAAACCTTTTCTCACGCACTGGTTTCATCGTCAGCTTAAGGGACGCTTCATTAAAATCCAGCGTAGCTTGTGCGTCTGAAAGAAAAGTCTATTCCTAAGATTAAGTGTGCTTGCAAATTCTTTACTATAAAAAAACATCACCTTTACTTGTTCGTCCTTGATACGGATGTACAAACGGTACTTTACCTACGCACTTACATTGTTCTCCTTGCGCCGCTAACACTGTCGTATTATCCGCATTATATATGCGGTATTTGCGAAAATACTTCCTAAAAAAACTCTTCTGCCACACAGGAACACTGCGCGCCTGTATCCAGGAGTGCGGTGGCCGGGATATTATTCACCAAGACTTCAATCTTCGGAAGAGTCAAATTTTTCACCATTACTGTATTTAACTTGTAGGAAGAGGGGTTTTCGTGGCCTTCGGATTTCCGCACCCTCTCGTCAGCAGAAATCCGTTTTAGTTTAAATTATTTTTCCTTTCCGGTGCTTTCCTTCTTTTCTCCACTGGCCTTGAGACTTTTTTCCTGGGTTGCTATTGAACTGTCGACGTTCGCCGGCTGTTTTTGAATGCTCGGGTTTCCTTGCCCACTGATTCGCTTTTTCTCCGTAGCCATGTGCTTGAGTTTGCTGTAGTCTTGGCGTACCAAATTGGTTTCGCTGTTGATATTGGCGGTCTTCTTTCGACGTCCGCCGTTCTTCTACTTTCAAACTGGATTGCTAGCTCAAATAATTTTTCCAGTGTAGTCGGATTTCTTAATTCAATAAAGTCTTGCACTTGGGGTAGTAACCTCGGCAAAATCACTTGAATTATTTCAGGATCCGGACGGTTTCCATACAAGAGCTTGAAAACGTGAATTTTTCTTAAAATAAAGCTGAGAGCTTTTTCGATTCTTTGTTGATATATACTGAAAAGTTCCTGTTTCTAATTTCGCACGATCCCTTACAACAGGGAAGGCTTTTAGTAGGGCAGTCTTGAAATTTTCGTAAGTATAGGTGGGACTTCCCTGCTTGACCCAAGAGACTTCTGCCGATACATTTGAACCATTAAGCGCTTGGCCCCTCAAAGCGCTGGTAGCTAAGGTAACTTTTTGAAACTCGTGCACGGGTAGAGCATGAAGTGGTCATCCAATTTTTCCAAAAAACTGGTTACCTGTGAGTTTCCATTAAATGTTGCTTCTGGTTTCATCGAAGCGCGCGCATGGTCTGGACGATGTAACCCAAATCCTTCCAGGGCGGCAGCTGGCATTTCTGGATTCTGAGCCGCTTCTGCAGGCAGCACAGGTTCTTCTTGAAACTCGGCCATGGTTATTCTTCGTTCGGGCGCCACTATCAGGTTCAATGTTTCTTCTTACCTTCTTCGGAAACATACAAGGACCTGACTCGGAACAGAGAGCTTACTAAAGCTATGTTCACTAATTGTAGTAAGTAGACAGGATACAGACGAAGGGTATACAAAACCCTTTATTTTTTTTCTTATATACAATAACTTCCGTACTTCGGAATACATGACCCTCCCACTCGGGGTCTAACTTAAAAGATATCAAAATAAAACTAAACTCTAATTTAACTTTAGAACGTGGAAGATTGGCCTTATATAACAGGAAGCGTATGTAGCACAGAGACTGTGAACACTACAATACGTTTAAATTTATCAAGAGGATTAAAACCTCTGGCCTGGAAGGCAAAGTAAGCAACTGCGTAACTTCTAAGGTAAGCGGCCTGCTTCGAACTCACGGCTTCCTCTCCTCTGCTTGGCAAAAAGGCCACACTTAAATACTTGGCGTTCGCCAGACAACTTTGCATAAAACCTTCACGCTTATAATTCTGGCCGGAAGTAGAAAATAAGAAGTGATAGTAAGATTTAAAATAAAATAAACGTTAGTAAAACTTCAGATCCTTACAAACAAGCCATAACAAACGAAATTTCAAGCAAAATATTACTTTTAATTAAAATCAAAATTACTAAAAATCAAAACTTATTATTTAAAACAATGTTATTATTTGAAATTTACCGGTAAGCCGGGAACGCCAGGAGGCCCAGGTCGTCCAGGTAAACCAGGTTCACCCTAACAAATGTTTAAAAAGTTAAAAAACATGGTACAAAAGTGCACTGCTTAAATTAATAATGCATACTCCATTATTTGCTTAAAGCATTGAAAACTTACTTCACTTCTAATTTAATTTACTTCACTCAGAACAAGCAAATATTATTAGTTAAAAATAAAAGCTACTTATAAAATTAAATATAATTATAAATATTTATTATCTTTATATGACACGTTAGACTAGAAGAGAAACCGCTAAGTGACAATCAAAACCGTGAAAAAACTATATTGCGTAGTTATAACACTCAATCGATTTCGAGGCAGCTAAAGGTCCCTCCTCATCAGGAGAAAGAATACTAGAAAGAAAAAATAGGAATACAAACAGGGTGCTTATCAGCACTGCACGTTTTATACTAGATTTTTAATCAAGTTTACTGGCCGCCTACTTTACTGAGGCCAGGCTGTCTATCACATAAGAAAATTAGCGAGTTAAAATAGGGAGCGAGGGCAAATGCACATTACGCGCAAATCGAACTTCAAATAATGGAAAGCAACCACTGAACGTATTTTTATACCCTCTGTATACAAGTGCGGGAGGTAAAGCCATCTATCGGCAAAATAATTGAATTAACAGTAGAATTTAAAGGCATTGGAAGGACGGGATTGGACTTCCAATCATTAACTAAACTTCTAAATCTTTGTGATGTGAAAAGCCTCAGAAAATCCAATTCCCTATGGAGAAGCCTTTTGGATTTTGCAGACCCAAAACAAAATTATGGTTAAACGCAACTATGATACGCTGTTGAAGACTTGTTAATTTCCCCTTTTTTGACATAAGATTCATGTTCTTGATACGAAACTCAACGCTCTTTTTGTTTGGCCAATATATCTAAACCACACGGACAGATCTACTATAAATTCCCCAAGAATTCAGAGAACCAATCTTTTAGAATCGAAGGGTGAAAGGGGAGAAACCGACTTGAAATTAATTTCGGAGATCCGTTCAATTTATAGCTAAAGAAGGTAACATGGAAGCACGACAAGTCATATTATTTCTAACAATGGAATGTCTTCTTTGATGGAATCTGAAAATTTTTGACGGCTTTATCAATATCACGGAGAAACCACGGTCAATCGCAACTGCTCTCAAAATTAAGTCATTGGTAAGCAAAGATTCAGAGGAACCACTTTTACCGTAAACATAAAAAAAAAAGCCATTTTTTGCTTAACAGGGTGGCATGCTTGCTGGGGGGTAAACAAACTGCAAAGGGTTTACGTACACAGTGGTCTAAAATCGGTTTCATTGCGGATTAAAAATATCGAGGAGGGGGAATTTTGGATTCAATTTCAAGAGTAATTGATGGCTGGACTTGAATTTATAATAGAAATCGGATAAATCCTCTTTATAACCGTCAAAAGGCGAAAGTGTCGTCACATACCGAATCCAAGACGAAAAAGATAATTTTCAAATAATTTCATCTCAAAATAGTGCATAAATGTCACAAGTACCGGACTGAGAGATTCCCATCCAATCTTACTTGACGAAATAATGCTTTTGGAAAACAAGTGGGTTTGACTTAGAAAACTTAAGTAAGCGAAACCAACTCATTAATTTCAGTATGTGAAGTGAAATTCCGAAGCCTATTTTCAAGACATTTATGCTCCTTCGCCCGGAACATTAGTAACAATGATTTGACATCAAATAAACCAATGGAACGAATTGGGAATATTTTTAAGTTTATCAATGACTTCACAGAATTTTTACAGTGTGAATATTGTTATAGTAGAGGAAAAATCTGGAAACTAAATGTGGCCAAGGATGAAGAGTACCTATGTTGAAACAATTGGTCGAAAAGATACGGTTTTGTGGACTTTTGTAAGCATAAAGTCTAGCGCAATTAGTATAGGGAATAAGTGATTCTTCACTGAGTGGCAGAATTGGAAGATTTATAGCACTTTTAACTTTCAGAGTCCGAAGTTTGAAGGTCTTTAGGGATCGGCAAGTATTGGCCTTCATTTATCAATTTAGAGACAGCAATATATGTGTGTTTGTCCTAACAACGATCTGTCGCCCTTATCAGCTTAGAGATAATATTAGTATATTATTCACGTAAGATTCATTTTCTTTTTGCTAGATTAGAACCCAAAGATTTTGTTAAAATTATATTATGAGTAATTAGGTGCGGATTGTATCCTTCTGCGGTTTCCGAAATTTGGAGAATTTAAGCTTTCTCTATATGGCGATGATTTGAGGAATTGAAGGTTTTAGATGTCTTTGAAATTAATTATATTTTAATTTTAACTGATCCTCCGAAAGATTCCTATTGGAGATTAACATGGAGTTAACGTTTACAGTAGAAGATCAGCTATAATTGGGACTATCCGACGGTGGTGTGAGTTGGATTTGAAATGAGCACATTTTTATGCGTGACAAATATGGTTCTAGACAGGATGTATGTTCAATGAGGAAATTTTTTTTTTCAGTGGAATTAGCAATTTTTAATGGAGGTAATATAATTCAAATTC